AGTGGTGGTGCAGTGGTTAGCGCACAGTGGTTAGGCGCACTGTTGTTGCTGTGTTGGGAGTGGTGGTTGCTAGTGGTTAGCGCAGTGTGGGGATTGGTGGTTTTGCAGTGGTAAGCGCACTGTGTGTGTGTGTGTGTGGGGAGTGGTGGTGCAGTGGTTTAGCGCAACTGGTGTGTGTGGGGACGTGGTGGTGCAGTGGTTAGCGCACTTTGTGTGTGTGGGAGTGGTGGTGCAGTGGTTAGCGCACTTGGTGTGTGTGTGGGGAGCGGTGGGTGCAGTGGTTATCGCAGTGTGGTCTGGGGAGTGGTGGTGCAGTGGTTAGCGCACCTTTGTGTGTGTTTGGGGAGTGGGTGGTGCAGAGTGGTTTAGCGCACTTTGTGTGTGTGTGGGGAGCGGTGAGGGCAGTGGTTGATCACACTGTGTGTGTGTGGGTGAGCGGTGGGGCAGTGGGTTAGCACACTGTGTGTGTGTGGGGAGCGGTGGTGCAGTGGTTAGCGCACTGTGTGTGTGTGGGGAGCGGTGGTGCAGTGGTTAGCGCACTTTGGTGGTGTGTGGGGAGCGGTGGGGCAGTGGTTAGCACACTGTGTGTGGGGGGGGAGCGGTGGTGCAGTGGTTAGCGCACTGTGTGTGTGTGGGGAGCGGTGGTGCAGTGGTTAGTGCACTTTGTGTGTGAGTGGGGAGTGGTGGTGCAGTGGTTAGCGCACTGTGTGTGTGAGTGGGGAGTGGTGGTGCAGTGGTTAGCGCACTTTGTGTGTGTGTGGGGGGAGGTGGTGCAGTGGTTAGCGCAGTGTGGGGGGGGGTGGTGCAGTGGTTAGCGCGGTGTGTGGGGAGCGGTGGTGCAGTGGTTAGCGCACTGTGTGTGTGAGTGGGGAGTGGTGGTGCAGTGGTTAGCGCACTTTGTGTGGGGAGTGGTGGTGCAGTGGTTAGCGCACTTTGTGTGTGTGTGGGGAGCGGTGGTGCAGTGGTTAGCGCACTGTGTGGGGGTGGGAGTGGTGGTGCAGTGGTTAGCGCACTGTGTGTGTGAGCGGGGAGCGGTGGTGCAGTGGTTAGCGCACTGTGTGTATGTGGGGAGCGGTGGTGCAGTGGTTAGCGCACTGTGTGTGTGTGGGGAGCGGTGGTGTAGTGGTTAGCGCACTATGTGTGTGAGTGGTGGTGCAGTGGTTAGCGCACTGTGTGTGTGTGTGTGTGGGGGAGCGGTGGTGCAGTGGTTAGCACACTGTGTGTGTGTGTGTGGGGAGCGGTGGTGCAGTGGTTAGCGCACTGTGTGTGTGTGGGGGGAGCGGTGGTGCAGTGGTTAGCGCACTGTGTGTGTGTGGGGAGTGGTGGTGCAGTGGTTAGCGCAGTGTGGGGAGCGGTGGTGCAGTGGTTAGCGCACTGTGTGTGTGTGTGGGGAGCGGTGGTGCAGTGGTTAGCGCACTGTGTGTGTGTGTGGGGAGCGGTGGTGCAGTGGTTAGCGCACACTGCCCATCTCCCCAGCTGCGACTCCCCCTCTGAATGTCCGCGTGGAGTCTCGCGACCTGCTGACGCAACTCCGCTGGGACCACGACGCTCAAGTGGACGTCGCCACCAGCAGCAGCTCAAAGCTCCTGGACGTTACCTACAGGGTGGACAGCAAACTGTGAGATGCTCGCTCACTCATCCACTCGCTCACTCACTCACCCACTCGCTCACCCATCCACTCACTCATCCACTCGCTCAACCACTCACTCAACCACCCATCCACTCACCCACCCACCCACTCACCCACCCACTCACCCACCCACTCACTGACTCACCCACTCACCCACTCACTCACTGACTCACCCACTCAACCACCCACTCACTCACTGACTCACGCACTCACCCACTCACCCACCCACTCACCCACCCACCCACCTACCCACCCACCCACTCACCTACCCCCTCACCCACCCACCTACCCACCCACCCACTCACCCACCTACCCACTCACCCACCCACTCACTCACTGACTCACCCACTCACTCACCCACCCACTCACCCACCCACCCACTCACCCACCCACTCACCCACCCACTCACTCACCCACCCACTCACCCACCCACCCACCCACTCACTCACCCACCCACCCACCCACCCACCCACTCCTCACCACCACCTCCTCCTCCCCGTGTCTCTGTCTGTGCAGCTATGGACGAGCCCGCTGGAGGACCGTCTGCGCTGCCACCGCAGAGACACGGTGCGATGTCTCCTCAGCTCTGCGACATCCCGGCGACCGCTATCAACTTCGCGTCAGATCCACCGTCTTATCACCACCACCAACACCACCATCACCACCATCATCGTCACCATCATCGTCACCCTGGGTCGTGGTTGATGTGTTACCCTTGAAGACAAGTGAGTGGCATTGTCTGTGTCTCTGTCTGTGTCTCTGTGTCTGTGTGTGAGTGTCTCACTCTCTGTGTCTCTGTGTGAGTGTCTCTGTGTGTGAGTGTCTCTGTGTGTGTGTGTCTCTGTGTATGAGTGTGTGTGTGTGTGTCTGTGTGTGTCTCTGTGTGTGTGTGTGTCTGTGTGTGTGTCTGTGTGTGTGAGTGTCTCTGTGTGTGTCTGTGTGTCTATGTGTGAGTGTCTCTGTGTGAGTGTCTCTGTCTGTGTGTGTGTCTGTGTGAGTGTCTGTGTGTGTCTCTGTGTGTGTCTGTGTGTGTGTCTCTGTGTGTGAGTGTCTCTGTGTGTGTCTGTGTGTCTGTGTGTGAGTGTCTCTGTGTGAGTGTTTCTGTCTGTGTGTGTGTCTGTGTGTGTGTCTCTGTGTGTGTCTGTGTCTCTGTGTGTGTGTCCGTGTGTGTGTCCGTGTGTGTGTCTCTGTGTGTGAGTGGCTCTTTGTGTGAGTGTCTCTGTGTGTGTCTGTGTGTGTCTGTGTGAGTGTGTCTCTGTGTGTGTGTCTCTGTGTGTGAGTGTCTGTGTGTGTGTGTGTGTCTGTGTGTGTGTGTCTCTGTGTGTCTGTCTCTGTGTATGAGTGTCTCTGTGTGTGTGTGTCTCTGTGTGTCTGTGTGTGTGTGTCTGTGTGTGAGTGTCTCTATGTGTGTGTGTCTGTGTGTGTGTGTGTCTCTGTGTGTGTCTCTGTGTGTGTCTCTGTGTGTCTCTGTGTGTGTGTCTGTGTGTCTCTGTGTGTGTCTCAGCCGTGCTGAGTGCTCCGACTGTCACCTTGATGCTCCACAAGGACGCGATGCTGGAGGAGGGTGGTGAGGAGGGTGGTGAGGAGGAGGAGTGTGGTAGTGAGCGTGAGGACTACGAACATGACGACAAAGATGGCTACGAGAATGACTACGACGACGATGATGACGACGATGAGGGTGATGGCGGCGATGGCGGTGGCGACGAGGGAGAGCGGTGGGAGCTGTCCGTGCGGGTCTCCATGAGGAGCGAGTGGAGGAGGAGGATGGCGCAGAGTGGCGTGCACTACCATCTACAAGCCGAGGTCTCCACAAGGAGGGGTGTGACTAGCACGGTGAGAGTGGGGGCGTGGGTGGGTGAGTGGGTGTGTGGGTGGGTGAGTGGGTGGGTGGGTGAGTGGGTGGGTGGGTAGGTGAGTGGGTGGGTGAGTAGGTGGGTGAGTGGGTGGGTGAGTGGGTGGGTGGGTAGGTGAGTGGGTGGGTGAGTGGGTGGGTGAGTGGGTGGGTGAGTGGGTGAGTGGGTGTGTGGGTGGGTGTGTGTGTGAGTGGGTGGTTGAGTTGGTGGGTGAGTGGGTGGGAGGGTGGGTGAGTGGGTGGGTGAGTGGGTGTGTGGGTGGGTGAGTGGGTGGGTGGGTGTGTGGGTGGGTGAGTGGGTGGGTGGGTGTGTGGGTGAGTGGGTGGGTGAGTGGGTGGGTGAGTGGGTGGGTGGGTGAGTGGGTGGGTGAGTGGGTGAGGGGGTGAGTGGGTGTGTGGGTGGGTGGATGAGTGGGTGGGTGAGTGGGTGGGTGGGTGTGTGGGTGGGTGGGTGAGTGAGTGGGTGGGTGGGTGAGTGGGTGGGTTGGTGAGTGGGTGGGTGAGTGGGTGGGTGAGTGGGTGGGTGAGTGGGTGGGTGAGTGGGTGGATGAGTGAGTGGGTGGGTGGGTGGGTGAGTGGGTGAGTGGGTGGGTGAGTGGGTGAGTGGGTGGGTTGGTGAGTGGGTGGGTGGGTGAGTGGGTGGGCGGGTGGGTGGGAGAGTGAGTGGGTGAGTGGGTGGGTGGTGATGCTACTACTACTGATGACGATGCTATTGCTGCTGCTGCTACTGAATGTCCAGAAATGGTTGAGTTCTGTCAGCTTCCACTTCCATGCTGAACTGGATGGATGGGTTTTGCGAGTTGAGATGATTTAGAAACGCGCTCAGTCTATCTTTGCCGTGTGGCCAGACCACCAACGTGTCATCCACGTAACCCGGCACACTGAGACCATCTGCTTGCTCCTGCCAGGAGCGCTTTGTGGGATGTCGCTACCGCCACGCGCTGCCTCAGCCTGCAGGCGCTGCTGAGTACTGCGTCCGCGTGAGAGTCGCGGCTCGCTACCCGCGGTGGAAGACAGGGGAGTGGTCTCCACTGTCGTGTGTCTCCGTCCCTCCACCACACAGCGCCGTGGGTGAGTGGGTGGGTGAGTGGGTGGGTGGGTGAGTGGGTGAGTGAGTGGGATGGTGAGTGAGTGGGTGGGTGGGTGAGTGAGTGGGTGGTGAGTTAGTTGGTGGGTGAGAGAGTGGGTGAATGAGTGGGTGAGTGAGTGAGTGGGTTGGTGGGTGAGTGAGTTGGTGGGTGGGTGAGTGAGTGAGTGGGTGGGTGGGTGAGTGGGTGGGTGAGTAGGTGGGTGGGTGGTGAGTGAGTGAGTGAGTGGGTGGGTGAGTGGGTGAGTGGGTGGGTGGGTGAGTGAGTGAGTGGGTGAGTGAGTGGGTGGGTGAGCGAGTGATTTGGTAAGTAGTTGAGTGAGTGGGTGGGTTAGTGGGTGGGTAAGTAGTTGACTGAGTGGGTGGTTGAGTGAGTGGGTGCGTGAGTGAGTGGGTGGGTGAGTAGGTGGGTGGGTGAGTGAGTGGGTGGGTGGGTGAGTGGGTGGGTGAGTGGGTGGGTGAGTGAGTGATTTGGTAAGTAGTTGAGTGAGTGGGTGGTTTAGTGGGTGGGTGAGTAGTTGACTGAGTGGGTGGTTGAGTGAGTTGGTGCGTGAGTGATTGAGTGGGTGAGTGGGTGGGTGAGTGAGTGGGTGGGTGAGTGGGTGGGTGAGCGAGTGATTTGGTAAGTAGTTGAGTGATTGAGTGGGTGAGTGGGTGAGTGGGTGAGTGGGTGGGTGAGTGGCGCACCCATTTAGCCCTCTCTATCCGGCTGAACAAAAGCTGTTCAGACATGCGGTGGCTGGGCATGCAGGCTACATGGCCCAGCCAACGCAGCCTTGCCTGCCGGAGGAGCTCACCAATGGGACTTTGCCCAGATCTTTCTGGGATTTGTGAGCTCCTCACACAATCCAGCCTGCAGGTTAAACCCAGGATGGATCGTAGACAGGCCAGCCTAAATGTTTCTAACCGGCGAATATGTTCCATTAGGGGGGTCCACTTTTCGCATGCGTAGAGAAGGGAGGGAATGACCGTGGCCGAGAAGACCTGAAGATTCGTGCGGAGTGACAAACCAGGTAGCTTCCACACAGTATTATGTAACCGATGGAAAGGTAATGCCGCTCGACTGATTCGGAGTGAGACCTCAGCCAGTCATGAGCACACTGCCCAGGTATGGGAAACTCTCCACTCTCTCCACAACTCCTCAATCACCAATTGGGAGTTGTGGGGGTGGAGTGTCCAATGGTACAAAATACCCAGGCAGGTGCTTAGTTTTGGTGGGGCTGATGGTAAGGCCCCACCTCTTAGTGGCACGCTCCAGTCTCAGCAGCAGCGTCTCCAACTCCTCTTCTGAATGAGCAGCTATTACCAAATCATCAGCATACGCAACATGGTTGAGCGATAGGGAGCCATCCCTTGACCGCACCCGGGCATCGATCAGCCTCCCATTGTATCTGTAACAGATGGAAATTCCTCTGGTACAGCTATTGAAGGCTTCACGAACTATGTGGTTAAAATAAATGTTAAATAATGTGGGAGCCAGAGGACATCCCTGTCGCACCCCAAGGTGTACAGGGAAAGGCTCTGACTCCCGGCCACGTAGTTTTATCCGGGCCCGCTCACCATCATGAAGGTCCTTAATGATCGTGAGCAGAGGGTCAGGGACTCCGAAAGCACGAAAAAACTGCCCAGAGCCCAGTCCTACTGATGGTATCATAGGCCTTGACCAGGTCAATAAAGCAGAGATGTAGGTCTTGTTGGAATTCCCTACACCTCTGCTGTAGCAGACGGACAGAAAATATGGCATCTGTGCAGGACCGCCCTTTCCTGAAACCGCATTGGGGCTCCGCAAGCCTCTCCTCAGCGTGCCTGGCAAGGCGGTGTTGAACAACAACACACAGACAGGTACACACAGACACACACACAGACACACACAGACAAATATCCCCCGTGTAGCCTTAACAGACTGTTGGGGCAAGTGCTGTTAGTGAGCACCTATGAAGGTCAGAACTTTACACGAGGGGGTGGGTGGCCAGCACCACGCCCGACCGCCTTTGTCTCCCCAGTGGCGATGTTTACACGCCGCACCAGGTACTCGTTTTGAGGCTGAGTCGACCTAGGGGAGGCCCAGGAACGGTTCAGGTAATCGTCACCGGTGTTGGCCGTGAGCGGGAATCGAACCTGGGTCGCCGGGTTCATAGCGCAGTGCGCTAACCGCTGCACCGCCGCTCCTCATCCAACAACACTGCTCAGCATCCCACTCTGTCTGTGTCTCTGTCTGTGTCTCTGTCTGTGTCTCTGTCTGTGTCTCTCTGTGTCTCTGTCTGTGTCTCTCTGTGTCTCTGTCTGTGTCTCCGTGTCTCTCTGTGTATCTGTGTCTCTGTGTCTCTGTCTGTGTCTCTGTCTGTGTCTCTGTCTGTGTCTCTCTGTGTCTCTGTCTGTGTCTCTCTGTGTCTCTTTGTGTATCTGTCTCTCTGTCTGTATCTCTGTCTGTGTCTCTGTCTGTGTCTCTCTGTGTCTCTGTCTGTGTCTCTGGCTGTGTCTCTCTGTGTATCTGTCTCTCTGTCTGTATCTCTGTCTGTGTCTCTGTCTGTGTCTCTGTGTATCTGTTTCTCTGTCTGTATCTGTCTCACTGTGTCTCTGTCTGTGTCTCTCTGTCTGTATCTGTGTATCTGTCTCTCTGTCTGTGTATCTGTCTCTCTGTCTGTGTCTCTCTGTCTGTGTATCTGTCTCTCTGTCTGTGTCTCTCTGTCTGTGTATCTGTTTCTCTGTCTCTGTCTGTGTCTCTCTGTCTGTGTATCTGTCTCTCTGTCTCTGTCTGTGTCTCTCTGTCTGTGTATCTGTTTCTCTGTCTGTATCTGTCTCACTGTGTCTCTGTCTGTGTCTCTCTGCCTGTATCTGTCTCACTGTGTCTCTGTCTGTGTCTCTGTCTGTGTCTCTGTGTATCTGTTTCTCTGTCTGTATCTGTCTCACTGTGTCTCTGTCTGTGTCTCTCTGTGTATCTGTATCTCTGTCTGTATCTGTCTCCCCATGTCTCCCCGTATCTCCCCGCGTGTCCCCAATCTCGTAGCCACCACCCCCGCCACCACCACCACCACCACCCCCGCCACCACCACCACCACCACCACCGCCACCACCACCACCACCCCCACCGCCACCACCACCCCCACCACCACCACCCCCACCACCACCACCGCCGCCACCACTCCCACCACCACCACCGCCACCACCCCATCCACCACCACCCCCACCGCCACCACCACCCCCACCGCCACCACCACCCCCACCACCACCACCCCCACCACCACCACCCCCACCACCACCACCCCCACCGCCCCCACCACCACCACCGCCGCCACCCCATCCACCACCACCACCACCACCCCCACCCCCACCACCGCCACCACCGCCCCATCCACCTCGCGTGGGGTGTCCACGGGGGACGTGGTGACGCTCTTTGCCAGCGGCCGTGTCGCCTCCATCAGCTTGCTGGTGGCCATGGCGACGCTGCTGGTGACGCTGCTGGTGCTGGTGCTGGCGCTGGTGTGCACCGTGCGGGACAGACGGAGCCCCGGCAATCGTCCCGGTGAGCGGCGGCGGCTACACAGATGTTGACTACCTCGCCTGGTGCGTAGGAGGTCGTGGGTTCGATCCAGACCCTGACGCCTGCTGCTGTATACTTGGAGTTTGCGTGTCTCTCTCTCATCATCATCACGGTGGCTAGGAGATGTTGACTACCTCGCCTGGTATACAGGAGGGCGTGGGCTACATCCCCGCCCTGGACGCCTGCTGCTGCTGTATATTTGGAGTCTGCGTGTCTCTCTCTCATCATCATCTACTACACTATAAGAGTTTATCTCCCCACGCTGCGTGCTATCTTCTCGTTCCCCAGCGATGGAGCAGCCAGCGACCGCCCCGAGCCTGCTCCCTGACAGTCCCGGCAGCCACCACCATCACTGCGACCACCGCCATCACCACCACTACGACCACCACCATCACCACGGCGGTGGTGGAGGAGGAGCAGAGATGGCAACTCTAGAATCCCGCCCCCGGCCCTGGTTGGCATTGCCGGATGAAAGCCGCTCACCGAGTCGTCTCCGCACCAACCCGTTCACCTCCTGCAGGGTGACCGTGCGCTGGCCGCGAGACAGTGACCACCTCGCGTGGCACGCGCGACGTGCCGGGTTCCAGCTCGAGCCGTGACGACGACGCCCGCCGCTGTTGGCTCGGAGTTGGCGGCGTCCGTCTCTCCGCGTGGCGACGTCCGTTCCAGAGGAGAATGAATGATGTTTTACACGGCAAGTTATACATGTGTAGTGTTGTAAAGGACGGACTAATAAACCTCTTTATGGCACACACAGTTTATTGTCTTAATGACACAGTCCCTAACACACACAAGGGTTGTACGGTCCCCTCACCCGTTACCCTGAGGAGGTACAGCCTCCTGACCTGCACAGCTCACACTTCACTCCTAATCTACGGAGCTACAGCCTCCAGACTTGCCGTCTATCCAATCTCCCCGCCATCCCAGCGTCCTCCAGGCTTGCCGTCTATCCAATCTCCCCGCTAGCCCAGCGTCCTCCAGACTTGCCGTCTATCCAATCTCCCCCCTAGCCCAGCGTCCTCCAGACTTGCCGTCTATCTAATCTCCCCGCTAGCCCAGCATCCTCCAGACTTGCCGTCTATCCAATCTCCCCGCCATCCCAGCGTCCTCCAGACTTGCCGTCTATCCAATCTCCCCCCTAGCCCAGCGTCCTCCAGACTTGCCGTCTATCTAATCTCCCCGCCATCCCAGCGTCCTCCAGACCTGCCGTCTATCCAATCTCCCCCCTAGCCCAGCGTCCTCCAGACTTGCCGTCAATCCAATCTCCCCCCTAGCCCAGCGTCCTCCAGACTTGCCGTCTATCCAATCTCCCCCCTAGCCCAGCGTCCTCCAGACTTGCCGTCTATCCAATCTCCCCCCTAGCCCAGCGTCCTCCAGACTTGCCGTCTATCCAATCTCCCCCCTAGCCCAGCGTCCTCCAGACTTGCCGTCTATCCAATCTCCCCCCTAGCCCAGCGTCCTCCAGACTTGCCGTCTATCCAATCTCCCCCCTAGCCCAGCGTCCTCCAGACTTGCCGTCTATCCAATCTCCCCCCTAGCCCAGCGTCCTCCAGACCTGCCGTCTATCCAATCTCCCCGCCATCCCAGCGTCCTCCGGACTTGCCGTCTATCCAATCTCCCCGCTAGTCCAGCGTCCTCCAGACTTGCCGTCTATCCAATCTCCCCACTATCCCAGCGTCCTCCAGACTTGCCGTCTATCCAATCTCCCCGCCATCCCAGCGTCCTCCAGACTTGCCGTCTATCCAATCTCCCCGCTAGCCCAGCGTCCTCCAGACTTGCCGTCTATCCAATCTCCCCGCCATTCCAGCGTCCTCCAGACTTGCCGTCTATCCAATCTCCCCGCCATCCCAGCGTCCTCCAGACTTGCCGTCTATCCAATCTCCCCGCTAGCCCAGCGTCCTCCAGACTTGCCGTCTATCCAATCTCCCCGCTATCCCAGCGTCCTCCAGACTTGCCGTCTATCCAATCTCCCCGCCATCCCAGCGTCCTCCAGACTTGCCGTCTATCCAATCTCCCCGCCATCCCAGCGTCCTCCAGACTTGCCGTCTATCCAATCTCCCCCCTAGCCCAGCGTCCTCCAGACTTGCCGTCTATCCAATCTCCCCGCCATTCCAGCGTCCTCCAGACTTGCCGTCTATCTAATCTCCCCGCTAGCCCAGCGTCCTCCAGACCTGCCGTCTATCCAATCTCCCCGCTATCCCAGCGTCCTCCAGACTTGCCGTCTATCCAATCTCCCCGCTATCCCAGCGTCCTCCGGCTGGACCTAGGGGAGGCACACCGACCCGGCGGGTCCCCGACCCTCTGGTCGCTCGAGACCTTCGCCCTCACGAGGGCGAGAAGGCTGGGAGCCAGGGTCCTATCCAGGACCTATCTCCCCTGACCACTGGTGACACTGACCCTAGCCCTGACAAGGGCTGGAAGGCTTGGTGCAGGGCCCTAGATGTCTTGGGTCTTCGTGTAGCAGAACTGGTCAAGAGCTCTCAGCGCTCTGGCTTTTATACCTGTTCGTGGCCGGGTTGTCCAATCCCCGGCCACCTTGTGGGACCCTCCGATTGATCCTTCCCAATCTGGCGTTTGGATCCTACCTCACCCCATTTGACCCTGACCATTTGATTGAGCGGGAAACCTTGTTAACGATCCGCTCTCTCACAGCTTGCGAACGACGAGTTGTTATCACCACTACACATTAATGGGCTTGTATAAAATAACGTAGACACCAATTACTCAGATGCCTACAGAAGCCACGTGACCAGCACTGCTACCAGCTGCGCTGGTCACGTGGCGTGCCTCAACCCCCCACACCCCCCACCCCTCTCCCACAGACTCACCACACAGAGACCCACAGACTCACAACACAGACCCATAGACTCACCACACAGAGACCCACAGACTCACACACAGAGACCTACAGACTCACCACACAGAGACCCATAGACTCACCACACAGAGACCCATAGACTCACCACACAGAGACCCACAGACTCACCACACAGAGACCCACAGACTCACCACACAGAGACCCACAGACTCACCACACAGAGACCCACAGACTCACCACACAGAGACCCACAGACTCACCACACAGAGACCCACAGACTCACCACACAGAGACCCACAGGCTCACAACACAGAGACCCACAGACTCACCACACAGAGACCCACAGGCTCACAACACAGAGACCCACAGACTCACCACACAGACCCATAGACTCACCACACAGAGACCCACAGACTCACACACAGAGACCCACAGACTCACCACACAGAGACCCATAGACTCACCACACAGAGACCCATAGAC